ACTCCAGATGTCGGCTTGATTTATGACCAGTTCCCCCCCAAAATAAGTGTGTGTGTAAGAGAGAGAATGAATGAATGATAACAATTCCTGCACAGGGTGAGTCTCGGTCATTTTGATTAACCATATATTCCTGGAGTGGAGAAAGGGAAAGATCCACCCCGGGGGAAGCAGATGGTTGGGTGGGAGAAGCTGCTAAGTTGGGAGGGACAGGAGACGGCGCCGAGCAATAGATTCAGCCGCAGAGGCTACCACGGGTTTTGAGTTTGGTCTTTGTGCAACTTGGGGGCCATCTGTTCGTCGGGCTGGCGAAGACGCCGGGTGGATGAGGACAATGCATTCCGAGGGCGAGGAGATTCTCTCTGCGCACGCATGCACCCCGCCGCCCCCCCCGGAGTAATGTGCATGACCCTCATCCAGCTGCAGAACAATGGCCCTCTGCACGCGAACACCTGACCCGATGGAGGGGTGGGATGGGTTACGGTCCACAGAGCCTGGGGAGGTGGCTCCTTTTGTCCGGAGCGCAAGCCACCGGCTTGCCTTCTGGGGTTGCCATTTTGGGTCAGTGTGACCTCCGACCTCCCGGACCTTCCCGTTATAAAGGGGCTCTTGTCGCGCACCAGGTTGGGTGACGAGGGAGTGAGGGCTTCAGCCAGCTGAGGCCGGTGCAAAATCATCCGAATACAATGGGAGGCCCTTAATCCGAGCAGGCTGAGGGGGGAGATCCCCCCACCCCCGGGAAGGAGCAGAGAGCCGATGGAGCTGGGCTGCCCGCACGGTTTGTTGTAACACAACGACACAGGGAGGGTGACAGGTGCTGGGGTCACCCCGTGCTCGGTGTGGATTTGCAGGATATCCCTTTGAGTTCCTTTAACAAAAGCTGTTCTGCAGGATTTCCCCCCTTTTAAAAATAATCCTCAAATCTTTTGGGGGCTTTTTCCTCCCTCTTTTTTTTTTTGCCCCAGATGTCCGTAAAGCATCCCTCGTTGCACTTTTCTAAGATAAAGGGAGAAAACTCCTAAATTTACAGGCACATTTTTAAGAAGAAGGCTATCACTCCCAGAACTTAGCTGGAGGGCTATTAAGCCATTGGTCTAGAATGGAGAACAGAAGGAAATTTATAGACGCACCTCCCCAACTTTCTGGAAAGAATGGTTTTTATAATCATCGTAACAATCTGACATCTTGTTACACGCGGCTCTTCTCGCCTCCCCGCAGGACTTCAGAACAGATGCTCAAATTGCATTTTATTTTTACGTGTTAGGAGCGACGACTCCCAGAAACGGGACTGAACCCAGTATCTTGCAAATTGGGTTAAATCAAGAGTAACCTGTTTATTTGATACTAGGGGAAAACATGTAATCCTAGATGATGCCACAGCACGGGGCCGGGATCCTTCTCTTCCGCCTCGCGGTCTCTTTCGTCACGTAGGTCATCTGAGGGAAAGAGAAAATCAATTCTCCCTAATGCCTTAATACCACCACCGAAGTGGAGCAGGGCTCAATGACACAACGTTTAATTCTCTGCGTACCCGGTTGGGCAAACCCCACTCTCTCTCCCCCCCACCTACCCACCCAGGCTGTCTGCTGCTCAAAAGCATGGTTGAGGATGATGGAGAGGATGCAGTCATAGTGGCGGCTGTGGCATTTTGGGGTTCCATTCCATGTCCAGATATTGGGGGAGAAGGGGTTCTCTTTGTTCATGGCGGTTTCTTTTGGGCTCGGCCGTGATGGAATCGGGAGATTTCCGGTCTCCTGTGGGCCCAGAACTGATTCTGGGTTCAGTCCCGTTTGACACCGGCTGGCCTCCTCTTTCAGGAGGAATGGAACCCCCATCCTTTAACTTCACAGCCAAGTGGTCCAACTTACCGAGCTATCCAGCCACCTGTGTGTGTGTGTGTGTAATGTCTGCTCTGTGCCTAGTTCATGGTGTTGATCATGACTTATAAAGCCCCAAACAGCTTGGAATCTGGGTATTTGAAGGAGTGCCCCCCACCCTACTATCTAAACTTGTCCAGTTACTAAGATTTGGTGGACCTTGGAGGCTGGATCAGTGCCCACGCCAGCGTCATTTTGAGTCAAGTCTCAAAATTATTTATTGGAGTGGCTGGGGGTTTGAGGATCCTAGCCTTCACAGGTTTTAGTGCCATGTGATGCTTTAATTATTTTTAATTGTCTCAAATATCTTACAGGTCTGAACCGTTTTATACAGCTTTGTAATGCGCCCTGAGATCCTGTGACATAGGCCAGGCTATACATGTTTAAGCTGGCTAGATAATTCCGTCGTTTAGATCTCTGCCTGCGAAGCGAGAGGTTAGGAGTTCGATTCTCCAGTGGTGCATCTCCCGAGAGAAGGGCCAGCCTGGGTGGCTTTGGGCCAGCTGTGCAGTCCCAGGGTTTCCCCCTAGAGGAAAGGAAGGGAAAGACACCTTTGAGGACGCTCTATCTAGAAAACCTTAGGTGGGGTCGCCATAACTCAAACTTGACTTGATGACCCATGATGATGATGATGATGATGGTAAATGTTTAACTAAATTAAATAAATAGATCAATCGATCGATCGATATACAAATGTATAATAGATACACAAAAATGCAGCTTCATGGTCCTGTTTTTCTCACCTATAGCAGCCTTAGCACAGAGCGGTGTGGGTGGATGTTATGTGTGCCTGTGGCTTTCTTTGTGTGTGTGTGTATGTGTGTGTGTGTGTGCTGGAGTGTGTCCACCTTCTTTGTGGTCTTGCAAATGATAGATCAGAAGCGCAAAGCAGTTGTTCCTAAAATAAAAACTGACCTCATCCTGTTCCCATGGCTACCCGGCTAGAGTAATAGCGTTTCAGCCGTAATCTCGATGAGGGGTATTAAACTTCTGCCTTGTGACGCGGGCGCTTTTCCTTGGGCGCCCCGGCTATTCCGCTTTCAAACGCATCGGTCACATGAATGTCATCTAGTCTTATTTATTTATAAAAAGCACGCCTTCGTAAAATTGCGGAGCGGTGTTAATCCCCTGTCCGGTTTGCATAGCAGTGGGAGAACTTTCTTCCAGCTGTGTGTGTTGTGTTGTGTGTGTGTGAGAGAGAGAGATAGGGAGGGATGGGTGGTTTCCTGGACCAATGAAGGGGTGGCTGCCTCTCTACCCGAATGGGGAAAGGGTGTGTGTCTAATTCCACAAATACGTCAGAATGGCTTGGATGCCGGTTTTAAAAATAAACCAGCCATGATCAACCCTCAGCGCATGACGAGGGAGAAAAAAAATCAAAAGCCAGGTGCTTGCCAATGCCTGCTTCTTACAGAACTGAACATGTTCTGTGTGGAAAAACAGATGTTTTAGCCGGCAGAGAAGCACAAGCTGTCATGTCCTTGAACCATCATCTGCTCAGGCGCCCTTGTCAGACTCTTGTCAGTCTGGCTGGCTTCTGTCAGGGAAAATCCCACGATCCGTGATTCAGGCTGGGGGAGAAGGGAATAATTTTTCCCTCGTGGCCTGGACAAATTTTGCGGACAAGTTTCAGCCCTCCATGTGCAGAGTCCTGGAGGCTGGCCTCTGGAATTGGTTTTTGAAAGCCATCTGGCCACTTCCTGAAGGGGGTTCGGATTGATTTATTCATTTAATTCCACTCCTGTCTCATTTTTCCTGCCTGATAACACTTAAAGCGGTACCAATGGCTTTCCTCTTGCCCAATGAAAGGGTAGCAATACCTTTATATACCTACTAAATAGATACCTACTAAAAAAATCATGATCCAATATGCAAGTGTTCCTGGATCCATGAAAGCTTGCAGTTGTATGATCATTTCCCCCCTGATCTATAAGGGCATCACCTACTCTGGCATTTTCTATTGACCGCATGGCTCCCCTTTACTCCTGCCCAGTGCATTCATACAACACCCTGTGAAGCTGGTCAGTCTAAGAAAGAGAGAGAGAGAAAGTAATCCAGTGAATGTTAAATCTGCACCTCTGGAACCTGAGGTTCCGTGTTCTAACCATTACACTCCACTGCCTTTAAGTGCATCAGGCTTCGAGTGCACTCAGAATTCACCACACTCAGCTTCATAATCCCGGCTGTTCGCCATGGATGAAACCCATGGCTATGCTGGGAAATTCGGATACTGGGGGCAGTCCAGAACGGAGCGGCTTTTTTTCTTTGGATCCGTGATGGGCTCGCCATGGCACACAACATCATCCCTACTGGGCTCTCAAAGATGCTGCTTTCTACGTTTTCACCCTCTTGGTTTTCCCGCCTGTAAAATGGGAATGATTTACTGGCTGGAAATGCCGTGTCCGTGAACTGTAACCGTTTATGGAAGAAACAAGGAAAGTAAAGGAATGTTCCCAAGACGCTTTCTCCTTCTTCTTCTTACCCCATCCATTCGGTCTGTGGCTGACCGACACCGCCCCCTCCCACTGCCCCATGGAGATCAACAGCTTCTGCCTGCTTAGGAAAACAGAACAACAATCCCCCATCTGGCACACACATATATACATATTGTCCTCCTGGCTGTCGGAGGCTTGTTTTTTTTTTCCGCCCGGCTGTTCTCGGGCGCTTTCTATTCACCAAGACAGCAGGGAGTCGGTGGAAGTTGTGGGGGACCGGATTCGTTGGAGACCGATTTTTGGAAACTATCTCGGAAAGGTGGTCTTTAAAAAGAACGGCGATGATTTGGGAAGGCTTGATCCAAAAAAGTTTTAGTCTTGCCAAAAAAAAGGCAGAAATGAGAAGCAGGGTGGCCTCGGAAGACTTTTTGTGATGGGATTGAAGAAATCTCATGCCACCTTAATCACCAGCGGAAGGTTGTGTGAGTTGCAGTTCACCACTTTAAAAAAGATAATTAAAACTGGTGCGTGTGTATTTGTGTGTTTGTGTAAATTAGCTTTCGTTGAGCCGAAGCGTCTGCCATAATAAATGTGCACAGTCTTCCAGGTATCACCGGATTCTTTGTCAGATTTCTTGTCAGACGGGAATACGACTTTCTACAATCACGTTCTTCTTTGTTTTATCTCTTAGCGTTGGCAATCCCAAGACAGTGAGGAGTATGAAGCTGAAGGTAAGAGAACGTAACAGCGCCTGCATTCCTTGTTCTTCTTTAAATAGATTATTTCCTGGAAAAAAATAAATGGAGGTTGACGTTAAATAAGAAATAAAAGCTTTCTTCCCCCCCCCCTTTTGTCCTCACTCTTTCATAGCTCTAAAATTCCAATTGCAGCATATGGTTTATTGATTTATTCAACCATTTTATATACTTCCCTCCATCCTATTTGGGATCTAGAGTTGGGCAAAACTGCGTACCTCCCAGTAGAGCCACAGTAGGAGAGCCTTCCTCAGACTGGTGCCTCCCTGAGGTCGTTGACCATGTTGGAAAGAGCTTTGGGACAGCTGTGGTGCGAAACACGTTGGGCAAGACGGCAAGAGTTAAAAGAGGATGTTAAACCGTAGTGGGCCTGAGGAGCTGCTTTTCTCTCGCGCGTCAGAATTCAGATTTAGAATTCACACATCAGAATTCTGGAATTCTTGTTGCTGTTTACTCGTTAAGTCGTGTCTGACTCTTTGTGACCCCACGGACCAGAGCACGCCAGGCCCTCCAGTCTACCACGGCCTCCCAAAGTTGAGTCAAATTCATGTTGGTCGCTTTGGTGACCCTGTCCAACCATCTCGTCCTCTGTCGTCTCCTTCTCCTCTTGCCTTCACACTTTCCCAACATCAGGGTCTTTTCCAGGGAGTCTTCTCTTCTCATGAGATGGCCAAAGTACTGGAGCCTCTGCTTCAGGATCTGTCCTTCCAGGGAGCACTCAGGGTTGATTTCCTTCAGAACGGATAGGTTTATTCTCCTTACAGTCCAGGGGACTCTCAAGAGCCTCCTCCAGAACCACAATTCAAAAGCATCAATTCTTTGGCGGTCAGCTTTCTTTATGGTCCAGCTCTCTGGAATTCTGCTTAGTTTCAATTCTAGTGTTTTCTGGACCGGCCCTAGTCCTCAATGTGGCTTTCCCCCAATCGAAATTGCTTCTTTTGTGTTACGCTACAGATGTGCGGTACAACACATCATAAGGGCTCTGGCTTGCAGGAGGCAATTGCACACCCTCTTTTTCACATGCCCTTGGCCTTGTAAATCATGTTGGTTATCAGGCAAAAAATACCTCTATGCGAGGAAGGGGTGAAGAGGTGCTTTATCAGGAGCAACCTCATAGAGTGGTGGGATCTGGAGGTCTTCTTCACAAGGTCTCCTTCCGGAGGAGAGCAGGGAAATGCCTGTTGTGTCTCGGAAGACACCACGAACATTCAGCTTCACTTTTTTGCAGTTTTAAGGTTGTGACTGAAAGAGCACTTTGAAGACAAGTTGTGCTTGCTGCCAGAGTTGTCGGTTTGCATGGAGGCTTTCTAGATCTAGACGTGGTGGCGCTGCGGGCTAAACCGCAGAAGCCTCTGCTGCAGGGTCAGAAGACCAAGCAGTCGGAAGATCGAATCCACACGACGGAGTGAGCGCCTGTCGCTTGTCCCAGCTCTCGCCAACCTAGCGGTTTGAAAGCATGTAAATGCAAGCAGATAAATAGGGACCACCTCGATGGGAAGGTAACAGCGTTCCGTATCTCAGTCGCACTGGCCATGTGACCACGGAAGATTGTCTTCGGACAAACACTGGCTCTATGGCTTGAAAACGGGGATGAGCACCACCCCCTAGAGTCGAACACGACTGGACAAAAATTGTCAAGGGGAACCTTTACCATTACCTTTCTAGATCAAAGAAACGTAGGGAGTCCCTTCTGTAAAAAATGCAGGGCCTGGCGCTTAAAATTGCTTGGCCACAGAGACATTCTGGAAGCTGAAGGCCAGTAAAGTAAATTTTTCAAGACTTGCTTACTGGCTTCTAGTAGTCAAATACCAAGCCAGTTGGGGTTGGCCTTATACCAATGTTGCCTTCATTTAGGTTCTGGGTCAAAACATTTTTCAAAAAACTTTCCTAGCTGTTTAAACCAGTTTCAACTGATCTATAAGTTATTATTTGTATGGTTTCTGAATGACCCTGGTTGGTTGGTTGGTTGGTTTGCTTTAGCTCTGAAACCCCATGTGACAAAGGGTGGTGTAAACATGTTTTGAATAAATAAGCAGTAAAAGAAAGGAGATATGGTGTGTGTTTGTTTTAAAAGCATGATAGCCTTTTTTTTTTAAGTAAACGTGGTCTACTAGCCCAGTGGTCCCCAACCTTGGGCAAAGTAAACGTGGTCTACTACCAGAAATCCTGGCCAGCAGAGGTGGTTGGTGAAGGCTTCTGGGAGTTGTAGTCCAAGAACATCTGGAGGCCCAAGGTTGGGGACCACTGTACTAGCCTATTCAAGTTAGCACACATGCCATTGCAGGCCTTCGTTTGGCCAATTGGAAAGGAGTATGTTAATGTGTGCCTTGCTAATTACCGTATTTTTCCATGTATAGGATGCCCCCATGTATAAGACCCCCCCACTTTTTTAACCCAAAATTAAGAAATCTAAGTGGGGCTTAGCAAGTGTAGGGGGAAAGGGATCAAAGCGCTTCAGGATCGCTTTGATCCCTGCTTTCCCCTCTACTTGTTTTTGTTCTCTCCTCAGCTTACTTCTGTGTATAAGACGACCCTCAATTTTAGATAAAAGTATAGTCTTATACCACAGAAAAATATGGTAACCAAATTCATTTCCACAAGTGAATTGCTGAATTATTGTGATGTACCCATTGATTTGCAGTTGGATATTGGTCCAGAAGTTTTATTTTCAGACCAGGAGAGGGGACAGAATTTTGAAAGATGTCCTGTGAGAAACGTTGTGTGCCCCCAATGGTGATGGAACTTTATTTCCGTAGGAGTAGGGTTTTATGTAATTTTTTTTCTCCCCCACCTCAAGCATTGTTGTTTCCTTTTCAGGACAACTGAGGTTCTGGAATCCTGACGACCTCAATGCATCCCCAAACATTTCCCCCACTCAGGACTGTATAGAAGAGAAGCTGAAGGAGGTGTGTGAGAATCTCGGCATCTCTCGGGATGGCCACCTGAGCAGGCAGAAGCTAGTCTCCATCTGTGAGCAGTACGGCTTGCAGAATATCGACACTCAGGTACTTCTTGAGTCCTGCGCTCCCCTAGATCAGGTTGGAGGAGCTGACTTTGTAGGCCAACTCTATAGAGTCGTAAGAGACCCCTATAGAGCCAACTCTGACTGGCAGCCACAGCTCTCTAGGGTTTGGAGTCAACGCTTTTCCAGGCTTACCTGCGGAATGCTTTTGGTTGAACCCAGGACCTTGGCTGTGGGAAGCAGATGCTTGGCCACTCTGTTAAGAATGGCGGGTTTAGAATTCTTTGCAAAGAAAGTATTTTTCACAAGTATGTGCTGATGGCCGGGAGGGTTGTATAATTTGACCACATAAGAGGATCCGGGGGTGGGTGGGTGTGTTTGGCCACTACTTCAAGATGGTTGATCGGGCACAGAAATGAGGCAGAGTTATCTGAACAACTGGAGTGCCCAGAACAGAAGAATGTGTCTTATGCAGGGTTAATCTGTTTATCCATCCAGTCAAATATGGCCTGTTGTGATGCATAGTGGATATCCAGGGAGTTAGAAATAGAAAACTTTTTCCCATCATCTGCTTGACTGATGATTACACGCAATCCCTCTGACATTCCAGAGATTCCTAGGTATAGAAATCCCAGCTCTTTCTTCCAGGGTCACTTCCGGGACTGTGCAGCTTGCCCAAAGCTACACAGGTTGGCTTTTCTCCTGGGAGGTGTAGGGGGGGGAGTGTTGAATTTCTGACCACTGGTTCTGCAGCCAGGAATCCAATTCACTGAGCTATCCAACCAGCAACATTTGCCAGGTCTTCCCTAGGCAGAATTTTGGGGATTCCTCCCCACCAACCCACACCTACAGATGCCTGGACCCCTGGACCAGGGCCTATTTCTGAGGTTGTGTGGTTGTCTCAGACCTCCTCTCCTGCTGAATAAAGGAGGGAAGGTCTGAGGGGAGGAAATTATGTATGAAAAAAAAGTATGAAAAAGAAGCTGCCACAGAATGGGAGTTGCAGTTCTTTGGGCGGTTCCTTCAGGAAATTCTAAAGGGCAGTGAGACTACAATTCCCAGGAAGCTCTGGAGCAGCTTCTGTCTTTTTTTGTACATTAACCCCAGGAAATGTAGTCCTCAGAAGGCCATCCATGTCTTCGGAAGTGTGGGTTTATTGGCTGCAGCTCCCAAAATTCTGCTTGGACCATTATCAAAGTTGGCGTCCCAAACATTACAAACGGCACCTCCTCCTGGTGACCCCAGGTATTGAAGCTGGGACCTTCTGTTCACTGAGATGCAGTTCTTTCCCTGAAACCCAGGCTGGGTGTCGGCTTATCTACCCTTTTCTGTAGCTGAATGCAGGGGCTTCACAAAACGGTCCTTGTAGGACCCCACCCCCAAATCCTGATGTTTTCTCACAAATCTAGCAGCGGTTGTTTTTCCTGGGATCTGACGGTGTGCTTTGTTGGTTGTTCTTCAGGTGCTGGAGGATGTTTTCCACAATCTTGAGCATGACGGCACAATGAGCGTGGAGGAATTCTTCTACCGCCTGTTTAAAATCAGGAAGCCACTCCCGCCGTCTGCCTCCACCCCATACCGGCAGCTGAAACGGCACCTCTCTATGCAGGTGGGGATCTCAGAAGGCGCTTCGTTCACCCGATTGACTAGGAGGCCCTATCCTGAACACACCAATCCATGCTTCGCGGGCTTCTTCCGACCCAACGTTTGCATTACGATGCTGCTGCAGTGGGGCACATTCTCTCCCACAGCTGCGACCGCTTCTCCCCAGACCTTTATCCTGGCCTGTCTTTGACTCAGCAGCCCATGTTGCTTGCGTATGTGGTCAGGGAAAGCCCCGCGCCTGTTACTTTGACATGGGCAATGTGGCTGACTGAACACAAAAACTGGGAAGATGAAGAGGGAAGGCTGTGGATGAGAAGAGGGCGGAGGCGCCAACAATGGGCTCAAGCGACAGGAAGCCAGATTTAGGCTGAAGGTCAGGAAAAACCTCTTAACTGTTAGAGCAGTATGACAGTGGGACCTGTGACCTTGGGAGGTGGTGAGTGGTCCAACACTATAAGCCTTCGAGACAGGCTCTCCCTGAGTGACCAGCTGCCCCGAGTGGGGGGGGGGTCCTTAAATGGATGTGTTTTTCGTGTTGTTTATGTTTTTTGTACAGTACTGGTTTGCTCCTTTAGAGTATTTAGTGTACTTATCATGGATAGATTTAATGTTGTCCCTTAACAATGTAAGCCACCTTAGGTCTTTTTTTTAAGGAGGAAGTTGGGGTAAAAATATAATAAACAACTACTTTGTAAAGGAGGAACTGGAAGGTCAGGACAGAACTGACCCTGCTGGCTGGGAGATTCTTGCACCTGTAGCTGAAAAAGTAAAAATTCCCAAGCTCTTTCTGTGTGCTTTGGCTCTTCTATGGGGACAGGCTGGGGGACGAAGCAGCACTCCATCTTCCAGGTTGCCTCAAAATGTTCTAGTGGTTCCTAAGCCACAGGGCGCATCTTAGATTATTCCCATGGCCCTTTGTTTTAAGACAAATGGTGGCTGTTCTTAGCACCCTCATCCCACCCGTGCCGTGATGATGCCAGACTTTATTTAATTTGTTATATAGAAGTTATTGGTTAGGAACACCAAAAGAAGACACCATTTTTAATCTGTGGACAATTTTTGCCCATGACAGGCTTTAGACTTCAGCTTGGATGGGAAAATTAATCTGGCAGAGCTCACCCTTGCTCTGGAAAACGAGCTTCTCGTGGCAAAGAACGGGATCTACCAGGCAGCCTTGGCGAGATTCAAAACAGAGATCCGACATTGGATGTAAGTGCTAAATTTTATTTTTCTAAGTATGGCCTGATCTGTGTCCTTATTCCTATACGGACTGAGCCCAGGATTTGAGGTAAGCAGCGGTGAAGTAAAATAAGCTTGTGCGCAAGGAGGTGGGATCCTGTGGCTCTTACCAAAGAAGCCACTGGAACCGAATCACAAGTGGCGTGTTTGCAAATGCCAAAAGGCAGGCTGAGGAAAAA